TATATAATAGAAAAGACATAAAATAAACAATCAACAAGACATAAGTAAACAATCAACAATTTAGCAGACATAAATAAACAATCAACAATCAAGAATTAAGGCACTTGGGTATTTACATGATGAAATAAAATAGGATAAATAAATAAGTATTTAAACAGGTGAGGTAGTGCGGTGTACTGCAAAATAACAGGGGAAAGTGGAATGTGCCAGTCCCTGAGTTCAGAGTGTGATGAGTGGCAGGGGGACAGGATCATTGAGCTCTGCCTGGTTTTGGCCTGAAAGACTCCGCATTCTCCTCCCCTACGGCAGCACTCGCATAGTTAAGATCAATGAAAATAGAACTTGTTTAAAACTTCCTTCATCCCAAAAGGAATCTTTTCTTACTGTAGATTTTTTTACAGAAGAATTTACAGCTCTAAACTTTTGTAATATTCATTCTTACACAGTAAGAATTGCTTTGCCAGCCCAGGAAAGTACAGTGCATTTTGTAGGTGGTTTGATGGACTAGTCTGTGTAATTTTCTGGTCTTACCTTGTATTTATCTAGTAAATGCCCACAACTATAAAATGTTACCAAGACATTTACTGTGCACGTGTCAGCTATTTTTCACCAATGCACACAAATAGCCATATGTGTGTGAGTTTGAGAACAGAAAGATAAGGAAAAAAAGTAAAAAAACGGAAACAAGACAATCTGTTTTATTTTAGCCGTGTTCATCTGCTCTGCCTCCTTCTATTACTCCATCTCTCCTGGCCTTCCCTTCCTCTCTAGGTCTCATTTGTCTTCATTCTTATCTAACAACAGGCTGCTCCAGGCTCCCATTACAATTATGTAGTCATCTGGGGATTTGACTTTACAAAAAGGTCCTCACATGCACCCATTGTAGCTTCACAGTCAGAAAATAGAAATAGGGAATCTAAATTGGATTTAATGATAGTCATTCCCTACTAAAATAGCTGTAGTTGTGTGTCGGTGTGTGTGTGTGTGTAGGGGGGGGCTTAGTGTAAAGTACAGTGTCTAGTCTTTATGTTCAT